ATGAACACGATGGTGTTTTCAAAACAATGATCGGAGGTCGGACGACGTCAGGATCGTGGTTGAAAGTTGAGATGCGTGGGGGTAAAAACTTAGCAAATTGTTCTGGTATGAAACCAGAATCAATTTGCACGCATATAAGAAGAAGAACAATCTGCCGACACTCCTTGGCATTATTCAGTGATTGGTCACTGAATTTCCTCCACTTTTTAAAACATGCTACAAGTTTTAAAAACTTCCAATTAAATCCTCAAATTTCACCAATTAACTTAATTAAAACCCCAAATTACAATTATATATTTTTTTTTCAATTTTTCGGGTTGTTACAATTCTCCCACTCTACAAGAAATTTCTTCCTCGAAATTTACCTTATGAAAATAGATGCGGAAATTGAATCTCCATTGACTCCAACGTCTCCCAAGTAGCTTCTGAGGGGCTACGATTACTCCATTGAACTTTAACCATTGGGATACGCCTATTCCGAAGAACTGGTTCATCTCTCTCTAAAACCTGAACAGGCTCCTCTTCATATGACAAATCAGGTCTCAGCTCTACCTCATCAACCTGAATGATGTGATCTGGATCTGGACGGTATCGCCTCAACATAGAAACATGAAAAACATCATGAATACGACTGAGCTGGGAAGGCAACTCAAGCTGATAAGCAACAGGTCCAACTTTCTTCAGAATACGATACGGCCCAATAAATCGAGGACTCAGTTTACCTTTACGTCCAAATCTCAATACATTCTTCCATGGAGATACCTTGAGAAAAACCTGATCTCCAACCTCAAACTCGATATCCTTACGTCGCTTATCTGCGTATGACTTCTGCCTATCAAATGACTCCCTTAAGCGATCACGGATCAGTCTAACAGTATCTTCAGTCTCTCGTACCAAGTCTGGACCCAAAGTTTTTCTATCATGCAACTCTGTCCAACATATAGGAGTACGACATCTACGTCCATACAGAGCCTCATACGGTGCCATGCGAATACTTGTCTGATAACTATTATTGTAAGCAAACTCAGCTAATGGCAAGAAATCTTCCCAACTACCACGGAAATCAATCACACAGCCCCGTAACATATCCTCCAACACCTGAATCACTCGCTCAGACTGTCCATCAGTTTGAGGATGAAAAGCTGTACTGAAATTCAAACGAGTACCCATAGCCTCATGCAAAGCTTTCCAGAACCTGGAAGTGAATCTCGGATCTCGATCAGATATGATAGACAACGGAACACCATGAAGTCTAACGATCTCAGAAATGTACAACTTAGCCAGTTTATCCAGAGAATAATTAACCCGAACAGGGATAAAGTGCGCTGACTTGGTGAGTCGATCAACAATCACCCAGATAGAATCCTTTTTGGAAGGAGTTAGAGGAAGACCAGTAACGAAGTCCATCGTAATACGCTCCCATTTCCACTCAGGAATCTTAATTGACTGTAACAATCCAGATGGATGCTGATGCTCTGCCTTAACCTGCTGACAAGTCAAACACCTCGCCACAAAATCTGAAATATTTTTCTTCATACCAGTCCAAAAGTAGCGCTCTTTGAGATTATTGTACATTTTGTCCCCACCAGGATGCATAGCATAAGGACTACTATGAGCCTCCTGAAGAATAACTCGTTTCAACTCATCATCTTTAGGGACGCAGTAACGACTGTGAAAACACAAAATACCATCCTGATCCACAGTATACTCCGAACTCGATCCTTGCTTAACTTGTTCAATAATAGGAAGCAACGAGCTATCAAGGAGTTGTTTGGCCTTAATCTCCTTGGCCAAAGTAGGTTTAACTTGTAGCTCCGCTAACAGACTGTTATCATCAAATAAGCTCAAGTTGGCAAATAAGGCTCTGAGATCTGATATCGCCTTACGGCTCAAGGCGTCTGCCACTACATTAGCCTTTCCTGGATGATATTCTATCTCTAGATCATAGTCCTTTAGAAGTTCTAACCAGCGACGTTGTCTCAAATTTAATTCTTTCTGAGTAAGTAGATACTTCAGACTCTTATGATCAGTATACATATAACACTTCTCTCCGTAGAGGTAGTGTCTCCAGATCTTTAAAGCGAAAACCACAGCAGCTAATTCCAGATCGTGAGTAGGATAGTTACACTCATGCGGCCTTAATTGACGTGACGCATAAGCGACAACCTTCCTATCTTGCATCAAAACACATCCTAATCCAGAATGAGAAGCATCACTGTAGACAGAAAAATCCTTCCCAGATTCAGGCTGAATCAACACTGGGGCTTGAGTTAAAACAGTCTTCAATTTCTCAAAGCTAGATTGTTGGTCTTCAGACCAGACAAATGGAACATCTTTCCTCAATAGTTTCGTCAGAGGAGCTGCAATAAGGGAGAACCCCTCAGCGAAACGACGGTAGTAACCAGCTAAACCCAAGAAACTACGGATCTCAGAGACGTTCCTGGGTTGCTTCCAGTTCAGAATAGCCTCCACTTTGCTCGGATCCACCTGAATACCATTAGCAGAGACGATATGTCCAAGAAAAGTCACTTCGCTGAGCCAGAATTCACACTTGCTCAACTTAGCATATAGCTTATTCTCCCTTAGAGTCTGAAGAACAATCCTTAAATGCTCCTCATGTTCTGCTTCACTTCTAGAATACACCAGTATGTCATCAATGAATACAACTACAAACTGGTCCAAATAAGGTCGAAATACCCTATGCATCAGATCCATAAAAGCAGCAGGGGCATTAGTTAACCCGAATGACATCACTAAAAACTCATAATGCCCATATCGAGTACGGAAAGCAGTCTTCGGAATATCCGAATCTTTCACTTTAAGTTGATAATAACCAGATCTTAAGTCTATCTTTGAAAAGATAGAAGCCCCTCGAAATTGGTCAAATAGATCGTCGATTCTGGGCAGAGGATATTTGTTTTTCACCGTGAGCTTGTTCAGTTTCCTATAATCGATACAGAGTCTCAACGTCCCATCTTTCTTCTTGACAAAGAGAACTGGGGCTCCCCACGGTGATACACTGAGTCGGATAAATCCCCTGTCCAACAACTCCTGGAGTTGAACTTTCAGTTCCTTAAGCTCCTTTGGGGCCATACGATAAGGAGCCATTGAAATCGGGGTAGAACCAGAATAGACTTCAATCTTAAACTCGACTTCTCTATCTGGAGGTAATCCAGGCAACTCCTCGGGAAAAACATCGGGAAAGTCTTTGACAATTCGGATGCCTTCAATATCAGATTGCGATCTCCTAGTGTCCAAAATATAAGCAAGAAACGCCTCGAAACCTTTCCTGATCATCTTCTCCGCTACCAAGGCAGACACAACATTCGTCAGAAATCCACGTCGTTCCCCGATCATTACAATCTTTCGATTATCTGGGGTCTTCAGAACAACTCTCTTAGTCTCAAAATCAATATTTACTCGATGTTTGTCCAACCAATCTACACCGAGAATCAAATCAAACTCTTCAAAGGGTAACTCTATCAGGTCAGCCAGAAAAATCTCCCCATTGATCTCTATAGGGCACTCTCTAAAAATACAATCCAACACGATGGATTTGCCTAAGGGGCTTTGAACTATCACTGAACGCTCAGTATTCTCAACAGGAATATTTAGACCCTCAGAAACGGAATGTGATACATAGGAATTTGTAGAGCCACTATCAAACAATGCAAAGTATGGAACTGAATGAATAGTAACAGTACCTGCAGTCACATTAGGCCCATCTCGATCTTGTCGAAGTCTAGCAGTGTAAACCAATGCAGGTTGTCTAGCCTCAGATCTGACTGGACCCCTACTCTGAGATGCTCGGCCTCTATTAGCCGATCCAGGTGCTCTCTCCTGAGTACGACCACCTACAGGAGTCTGAACAGTACTCTGAGTACGAGCGGGAGTACGAGCTGGTGTTTGAACTGTAGAAACTGACACTGTGCAATCCCTTATAATATGGTCACTAGAACCACATCTAAAACATGTGCCAAATTTTCTTCTGCATTCCCCAAGATGATGTTTCCCACAGTAATCACATGTCTGCAAAGGTTGCAACCCAGAAGATTCACCATGTCTAGTAGACTGAAAAGTTGAAGCACCAGATGCAACAGGTCTGACACTCGCACCGCCTCTCTGAAAGGAATCACCCCTGCCTCTCTTGCTAGGATGTGCAGAAGAATTAACAGAACCAGAAGGCCTCCTGAATCGGGTTTGAGCTCGATCACTATCTCTCTTGTGCTCCATACCCAGTCGCTCTATTTCCTCAGCAGTCTTGGCTATCTCAACCAAAGCATCAAAATTCCTCTCTCGGTGAGTAGCGACTCGACTCCTGATTTCATAACTGAGTCCATTCTCGAACCTCAAGCATCGATCTGTCTCAGTATCCACAAGTCCAGGAGCATATCGGCTCAATCGGATAAATTCAACCTCATAATCCATAACAGACATATTACCCTGCTCCAGATTCTGAAACTCCTGGCGTCGCTCCTGCAGATATCTCTCTCCGATGTAGCGACTCCGGAAGCGCGTCTTGAAAAGATCCCATGTTAATTGGTTCCTCGGAATACTACCAGAAATGGATTGCCACCATCTGAAGCTTTCTTTCTTCAACATAGTTAGGGCCCCCTTTAACTTTTGCTCAGGTCTGAGGTCCATCTCATCCATAATCCTCTCTGTGTCCTCCAGCCAATACTCAGCGTCTGTCGGAGGTCCACCAGTAATACCCTCAAATGGTACTACACCAGCAGCAACCAGAGAATTTGAAATCTCCACTGCCGTCATGTTACTAGGGGCTCTAGCAGCTCTCTGAAACATGCGGAAGATAGCTCTATTAATGGCGTCTTCATTCATCTCAGAATCCTCATCTTCAGTGACGGGAGGGTCTCCCATAGGAGTAAACTGATCATCATGAGAAAGAGTCGGATCTACTTGCGGAACAGGAGGATCACGTGGTGATATCGGATCGTCTATCGTAACAGAAGGTCGAGTGACTCGCCCTCTACCACGTCCACGTCCTGTCCTACGACCTCTAGCAGCATTCATCATTGGATCTATAAGGCTCTACAGAAAGAATTTGAAACATGTGTCACATTAGCATCAGGGATCTCGAGAAAACTTTAAATCATAATATAAGGTGACATTTTTTTTTCTTCTTAAAAATCCAAAATTTAGGACCCATGTACAGTCCGAGTGTTTAAAACCGAAAGCTCTGATACCACCAAATGTAACCCCCTAGACCCGGTCTGTGAGTTAGACTCAAACCTAAGTTGTCACATATCCCATTCAGAGGTTTTTTTTTTTTTTTTATCTTACAATACATTATATTAATAATACAGATATGTCCAAAATTATAGCAAATACATGTCACCAAACATAACTGAAAAACATATAGAAATATATGTTCGTACAAAATAAGTAGTTGATTTCCACTGATGCCAAATCTGCTAGCTTACTGTCTGCTACTATCTGAAAAAGGGTAAAAACTACAGAATGAGCTAAAAAGCTCAGTGTGCTCCATACAGTATATAAGAAAAATATACAGATAAAATCTTTCAATGAAATCGGTTTATGCAATATGTTTTTATTTTTATTTTTAAAACATGAACACTAACCCCATCCGTTCACATCATAGTTGTGTAGGTTCCCCAGAACCATACACCCAACCGCACATGCCATTTAGACCCTGAGCACAAAGCCGAGAAGTCTGCAGATAATCTTCCTTCAACAATACCCCCCCCAAATGACAATGAATGTATTAAATTGAAAACAATGATTAATCACTTAAAACATAACAAATATTTCATACTTAGAAACCATATACAGAAATACGGAAATCAGAATTCAAATCAATAATTCAAATATCAGATAAGCAGATCTCAGAAATCGGTATGAAATACCTTAATTCAGAAGTTATATCAGAATATACAGCAAATCAAATATCAAATACTCGGTATTCAGATAAATTATTTAAATCAGTAATATAATACTGTTAGGAAACACACCTGTAACAGTCTGGGAAATCAGATAGGGAAGCCTATTACTGGGTATGTCGATCACGTTCTGCTGCAGCGCTAGACCCTACGAATTGGAAAAATCCTTATTGGAATCCTAATATAAATAATCTAAATATTATTTAAATAATATACTGAAACCTACGGGTAATTCTCGTATTACGCGGTTCAGACTGATCTGACGAATGGATAACACCGGACCTAATTGATCCTTGCTCAGGTGAAACACGAGTACCTTCATAAAATATTTTGTCGAATCAATTCCTTAACCAAAACTCTTAAAATAATCAAAACATTAAGATACTAAGCCTTTTTGAGTTCACATGCTCGATTTGGGAATTTTGGGTCAGAATTTGGCAAAATAGACTTCGGAATCAAACTCAGGACGTCGAAAAACATAAAGTATGACCTTCTAAAATTTCAAATTCTTGGTCAAAATTAAAGTCAACGGTTTTGACTGACAATTTGGAGACTTTCGGGTTTGAATTTAGCAAAACGGACCCCAAAAACGGATTCGGGACGTCGAAAACTATCAGGATAGGTATTCTCGGTCGAAAACAAAGGTCGTTTAATAGCCGGTCAAAGCCGGTCAAAGTTCTGGTCAAAGTAGGTCAACAAACTTTCAAACATTTTACACAAATAGCACCATTTTCAAATTAATTCCCAAAATATTATTTTTTTTCGAAAAATTACTAAAATAGCACCCATTTCGAATTAATTCTCAGAATAGCACCAAAACCGAATTAATTCCCAGAATAGCACCGGTCAACGGTCAACGGTCAACGGGTCGGGTCAACGGTCGGGTAAACGGGTCGGGTCGGGTAAACTGGTCGGGTCGGGTAAACGGGTCGTGACCGGTCAAACCGGTCAAAACCGGTTCAAAACCGGTTAAACCGGTCAAAACCAGTTTCCAACGTTCACTCGCCTGCGGCGGCGCGTGTGGGCGCGTGCGATGTCCTCCGGGGCTCTAAAAATCACGGAAAAATTTCTAAAAATTATTTTGAGCGATTTCGAGATACTTACAAAGATCGGTTCAAATTTTTGAACGGCGGAGAGCTCGATTTCGACTCGGCCGAATCTTTGACTGATCCACCTCCCCACGCGCCGCCGTCAACGGAGATCGAGGATGACACCGGCGGACTCGGAACGGCACAAGGAACGCGATGGTGCGGGAGGTGTCGTAAACGGAGCAACGATCAGCGATGAATTTAAGATTTTCTCGGCGATTTAGCTAAAAAAATACATCGAGACTTTGACTGGAAATTCCCGGCGTTTGGCAGCGTTTCGCTTCAATTAATCTAAGGGATTTGTTCCTCGCTCGATGATGAACACGATGGTGTTTTCAAAACAATGATCGGAGGTCGGACGACGTCAGGATCGTGGTTGAAAGTTGAGATGCGTGGGGGTAAAAACTTAGCAAATTGTTCTGGTATGAAACCAGAATCAATTTGCACGCATATAAGAAGAAGAACAATCTGCCGACACTCCTTGGCATTATTCAGTGATTGGTCACTGAATTTCCTCCACTTTTTAAAACATGCTACAAGTTTTAAAAACTTCCAATTAAATCCTCAAATTTCACCAATTAACTTAATTAAAACCCCAAATTACAATTATATATTTTTTTTTTCAATTTTTCGGGTTGTTACACATCGAAAGTCAATTTTTACAAAGTCTTGATTATTGTAAAATAATAGAGGTTTTTGCTTCAAAAAATGCACGAAGGCATCGTTTTAGGTGATATTTGTAGCCTTGTAGGTTTTGGTTTGTATTAGTAATGATATTGTTTGACTATAATTTCTATTACATTTTCGTTTTAAAAAAATTATTTATGTTTTGTCTATTAGACGGTACAAGTATAGGGACATAAAATTATTATCTCGTTCAGGACATTAAAACTCATTAGACCGACCCTGCTGACTTGAACACCTAAAACACCACGAACTCAAGACAACCGAGTCACCATTGACTCGATATGCACGAGTCTTCCTCGACTCGAAGCAACCTCCCCCAAGGAAGGTCCAAGCCTGGTATTTACTATATATAGTCATAGGCATTTGTGTATTTGGAGACATCACTATTATGATGTATCTAATAAGAACTAAGAATCAAAGCAACACAGTAGGAAAACTAAGAAATGCAGAGACATTCGAGTATTTCTCCATTACAACATCTGAGAAGAAACGATTAATGGACATATATCTATTGTAGGAAGCTCGAACTATGACCTATACAATCAAACAAGATACAATGTCTCCATCTATCCTACTATATGGCAAGCAAAGGGAGAAATGCGCACCTTAAAACAACAAAGTAAAGCAAACCAATCTATCAAGACAATCGAGTCAGCATTGCAGAAAAGTGTTGGAACAAAGGAAATCCGAGGCAGATTAACAATTGAAGCCATGGCAGACTGACAGCACGATGATGAGAATCAAGCCAATGAGGATACCCAGAACAATCAATTTTATCTTCATATTCTGAAGCCACGTCTTTGTTCTCATCTTTGTTCCCTGCTGCCTAAATTCTTGGGCCTGTAATCCAATTTTAAGTTCAATGCATCGTACTTTTTGCGTTTAACATTTATCGGAGTTAAATGCATTATATGACGTATCAAAATAAGAGGCATAAAGAGACCATGGTAGACAATATTTATAATAGAAAACTTAGACCAAGAATTATAATGGTTTCTAGAACTGAAGAGGAAACAACTTGATCAAAGCACAAAGAAGCCATTGTTTTGGTCGTCCATAAAATGTGGTTTAAATAGGAGTATAGGGCTAACCTGTGAGCGAAGGTTCTCAGTTTTATCCACCAGCAACTCAATCTTCTCACCACGATCAAGGACCTGGTCAAAGAAAAGTGTTATTAATGAAAGAAAACAACATGCTACAAGCAACACACCTGAAGTTTCATTTTGCTTTGTATGCCATGGTTTTAAAAGTTGTAAGCATCTTGCCGTGTTTTAACCCTCAAACTACACCTAGAACAGTGATATAATTAGCAGCAACCTATTACCTTCTCAATGTTTTCCATCATAACACCCTTGACTTCAGAAACTTGAGCTTTCACTTTAGCAAGCTTGCTGATCTCTTCAGGATTGTCCACACAGTACTGCATTTGCTCCTTCAGTTTGGACCTATTATGTACAAAGAGCTATGCATGTATCCAAGAAGTCAAAAAGTAAATCTATAAGAAGAAACAAAGAGAGATAGATACCCAAATTCTCTATTCAGGCTTTTGCCCGTAGCAGTTGCAGCCTTCCCTCCTCCATATCTCTTGTTGAAGTCTTCCTTAACTCTCTCCAGAAATGCAATCGGAACTTGCCTGCCAACAGATTCAACAACAACTACACAGTAGGCTGCAGAACCAAAAGTAATTCATAAACATTAGTACACGAAACATGAATTTAAGAAGTTATGAGTTAGAAAAAAAATAAAAATTTGCTCTTGATTCATTTCCCACCGAAGCCAAGTTCAACAAAATCATACCAGAAATCCAGCATGTAGATCTATGATTAAAACAACTTTAGGAAAGGAATATCTCCCCTTTCTCACTATGAAAGCAATCCGTTATGCAAACATCCTATAGCTTCAATATCAATATGAACACTCTAGCACCCAAATAGCAGCCAAATGAAAGCAGGCAGCTGCAATGTATAAATGAGAGTAGCATGGATAAGCCCCATTAATGGGTATGCCTAGAAGGTGATATGATGATCATGACAGCGCACGCTATTGTAAAATGTGAAACTAGGAGTTCGATTTTTCTTTTCTCCTTGTTTGTTACTGATTATCTCTTCACAAGATCCCCTTGCTTACCAGCATTGTTCTTACTTTCTATTTATTAAGCATTCATTCCGTACCACCAACATGGAAACCAGATGCAGAGCACATTCATGGCTCATGCACACAGATATTAACAGACGAGGGAAAAAAACAACAACATGAAATGCAGCTAGCTAGGGGGCAGGCATAGAAGCAACAATTAAAATAAAGCCTCCAGCAGGCCCAAATCTTGCAAATTGTAAATCATGTAAGCTTTAAATGATGAGAGCATGAAAAAAATACTTCCATGGTGTTAGTCTTTAAATGATGAGAGTATGAATCATTTATTTCAGTAATTTCAAACAATTCAGACATACAAAATACTTCCATGGTGTTAGTCTTTAAGTACTTGCTCAGAAATCGAAAATCCTAGGTTTTCGGCCTTTACGGAGGTTATGAACTGAATGATTCTCCGAACAAATCATGAAATTAACAGATGAATCAATAATTTTATTAGGTCAAAAACTAATTCACATGTCAAATCCACTAACGAGCAATTTCATGCTATTTTTACATCATAGGGCAATTTCGTAATTTCTTATTCATATATTTTTGGTATTACAACTTTTAACGGGACAATCAAAATTTAAAGTTTATGTGGTTAATCGTTGCACTGATTAATTACTGAACTTGGAATTATTTATTACCAGACTTCTAATTTCTGATAGAGTCACCCGAGTCTTATTAATTTACATACTTTTTACTGTATTCAGATCGAGTTTAGAGATGATTAACTACATGTGACAAAATACATTCATCCATGCATTAACTAATACCAACATATTACCTCAATTTTTGACTCATATCAGTTAACCAATTAAACTCCATTTAATCACCATCAAACTTTAATTCCACGTCTCATAATGCATGTTAAAACCAATTACATTACAAACGAAACTGTGTATCTGCACTTTTGGGACCACAGGATAATGATGGAATACGTGTCCGGTTATGCACGTGTTGAAGATCCCACGGTTTATCTTTACAACCTTGGATGTTGTGGCTATGGAGATGACACCAGCGACCCTTTGTTTATCTGTTCGTTTGTTTTAATAATCCCAAAGATGTTTGATGAAACTAGTGGCAATGATTTTCTCTGAGGTTCTTGTGCCCGACGATTTGTTGTTTGTTTAATCAGAAAATTAAGTTGCAGGATGACACATGGGTCTACGTGGAAACAAGAATGATTCTGGTTCTTTTATTGGTTCAGGGTTAAACTACTTCCCGGAGATGAAGTTTATCCATTCCTGTTATAATATGTTTGACTGATTTGTACGGAGGAGATCAATGCCAAAATTGATCACAGGATCGATCCCTGTAATCAATTCCCTCGTAGAAAAAGCGTAAACTATCGTTTTCGTTGCATAACTTTGTCTGTGTTTCTATTTTAGTCACTAAACTTGTAAAAAATAACAATTTAATCATTAAACTTTCAAATTATTCATCATCACGTGAACTAAAGACAACGGGATAGCATGGATGGTTTTATGCTGACATAATTTTTTTTACTAACATGAAAGTCTCATATTATCTCTCTAATTTTTCTTTCTTTTTTTCCTTTTCATAACGATGGAATTTTAAGAGTTTCATTTATATGTCACATCAGTATTGAATTCGATAATTTTTTACTATTTAAAATATCGACAAACTCGTCTCATCATCTCTTATTACTCTTATCACTTCATATTCTTTTAAAATCTTTTTAGAACTCATAAAATTCAACCCAAAACACATAGAAAAACGATTTCAACCTGTGGTCTCTACCATTTAATTAATGTAGAATTAGAATATATAACTCATCTCATCCTCCTCCCCGTTTCCACAGTTGTGATTAGGAAAATGATACCCCAACATCAGAAAATAAAAAAATATTAAAAAATTAAAATTTAAGAAGATTTAATGGGGATTTTACAAAAAAAAGTTGAACCATTTAATGATTTTTAAAAGGTGTGCAAAGGGACGAAAAAAGGTAATTGTAAAAATGAGTGATCAAATTGAAAATTTGTGTGATGAAATTATGACCATTTAGGATGGATTCCTTTCAAGTCTGGATAGATTTCAAAGTTCAACAGCTCTTTTCATCTCTCAAGCCCCGAAGAGTTTGTTTATTGCTATGAGCTTAGTAGTAATTACGTGGTTTTCATTTACAGTTTAATCCTTGAACTATACTCATTTTCTCTACTTTGGTACCTAAATTTGTTTTCTTATCCACTTTGATACTTGAATTATCATTTTGTTTCGATTCGTCTAAAAAAATCAACAGTAAAAAACCAAAAAACGACATCATCTACCAAGCGCCACATTCATTGCCATCTATCTTAAGATTTGAGAGGAGAAAAGAGAAAATAGAGTGAGTTACTAACAATCCAAGATCCATCATTTAAAAGATAGAAACAAAAAGCAAAGAGAAATAGTATCAGAGTTGAGAAACTTCACAAAATCTCCTAGCTTCAACCTATGTTGCCCTGGCTCTACATGTGATTAATACTCATGTCCGGCGTATAGATACGGAGATGTGACCTCCAAGAACCCTCCAAATATGTGTAAAGAATAAGAAAATCTAACTACACTGGACTCCGAGAAAATGTAGGTTTAAACTTCAAGAGTTCAGAATCAACAAAACTACAAAGAAGTTAACAGCGTGAAAATAACCTGGCTTGATATCACTGATTCCTCAAGTCCAAACAACGCTGATGTGAGGGCCAATCAGAAATAAGATGAGCAACCAGTGGAGAATATGGAAAAAAGACATGAAATCAACCGACTTTACTCGCACAGCTAAACAGCAAGCAATAAGAGGAGTGATTTTGTTACTTACACTGGTACAAGTGGGAGATAAATATATCGAGTTAAGGGGGGGAAATCAAGAAAGAAAGAAAAAAAGATAAAACAGTTTCATTTGAAGACTAACAGATTCATCAATCGATTTTTCTGCTCTTTTTCATATAGAGTTTTAGGTCAGTAAGGGCACATTCAGTGGATGCATGTCAAAAAATGAGGAAGACAGTTAAAGTGAAGGCAATTGATAATTTTCTAGACACTAGACAACGATATATTAATCTAGACTCTTCACTTGTCTTAACATACAAGTATCCTGCACTTGTGTACTACTCGTAGTCATACGAGTATGTGAGTATGATTCTCAAAATACATGGATAACTTAGAAAGAAAGAAAAAAACCATGAGCATAACCGCATCTGACACTCACTCTCAAGTATGGATAACATAAAAATCGATTAAACTCCAATAAGAAATTCACCCAAACTCATGGAGAGTAAATAAACCTTCTAACAACAACTTGAATTTGAACTTGATATTGCTTACAGAAAGATCAAGTATCATTCTATCAGCTAATCCAACAGCATCACAAATGAAATTTTTACTACAGGCACTTAAAAAGTCCATATAAAACAAGCTATGACCACAAAATCATGCACTCTAGAAACAAATATATATAACAGACAATATTATCATATCAAAGTAACATATAAATATACAACACCTTGAACGCGGTTATGACATCGTGAGAATATAGGAACAAATACATGGATTGACAGGTCTCCTCCTAGCATAAACTTCAGATGGAACTAAAGATGGTAAAGCTTCAAACAGTATCCACTAAAATCGTCTAAATGTAACTATGAATAAAGAAAAATCTAGCCTTCTCATCATGCACCCAAATCCACTAAAATCCACTAAAATTGAATACCTTAAATGCATAGTTATCCTGCACCCAACAATATCTATCTCATCATGCAATCAAATTCACAGCATCAATGATTCCCAATTAACACAAAAGTAGACAAGAAATCGAAGAAAAACTGCCTCAAATGAATGGCGTCCTCTGCATAACCCTAGCCCTCTCAGCATCAATGATAGACCCCACCAAATCCACAGCCTCCTCAAGCTTCCCCTGAGCATTAACAACAACATAATCAAACCTCTTAGCAAGCTTGACCTCTTCTCTAGCAGTAGCAATCCTCACAAGTAATTCCTCTTTACTCTCTGTCTTCCTCTCAATCAGCCTCTCAACAAGCGCTAATTCACTCTCAGCAACAAGAAATATAAACACCCCAGAATCACCAAGGATCCTCCTCAATGTTTCAGCCCCTTGAATATCGACCCTCAACACAATATCACACCCTTTCCCCATGAATTCCCTGATTTGCCTTTTGGGTATCCCTTTATAATCCCCATAAACCATAGCATACTCCAAAAGCTCATCTTTTTTAACCATCGATAAAAACTCTTCTTTTGACACAAAAAAGTAATCTTTACCATAAACCTCACCGGGTCTCATCGGTCTACTCGTGGCGGTGACGACGAAATGAAGATTCTCCCGGACCTCTCTCAGCCGTTTGATGACTGCATCTTTGCCAACGCCACTCGGACCGCTTATGACGAGGATTAAAGGGTTTGGGGTGGGGAGAATCGAGTCGGAGCTGAAAGATGTTCCTAGGGAAGACTCGAGAGCACGGATTAACTCAGGTTTGGAGGCTTTTTCGAGGGAAGGGAAAGAATAGGACTTGTGGGTATCGGCCATTTTGACGGTGGAAGTGAAGAGGAGGCGTTTCGGAAGCGTTTGGAGGGCGGTGAATATGGGTCTGGGGAGAAGGGGAAATGGAAGGTGTTTGGTGTGAAAGAGAGCCGTGGAGAATCTACGAAACATGAGGGTTTTAGAGTTTGGATCCGAGAAGGTGACGAGATTCTAAAGGGGTTTAAGTGTTGATGGTATTGGGCATTTTGTGCAACAGTCTGGGCATTTTTATGGTTTGGATTGGGTTGTTTTTCTAGGACGACTGGACGAGGAGGATTCTGCGAGTTATTATTAAAGGGTTAATCATACGTGTTATTATGTAACGTGTCATATTATTATTCGATTAGATATTTAAATTTATTAAAAATTAAATTAAATTGAAAGAATACATAAATAATGATGATAAAATGTGTGATTACATCAAAATATCACATCGTCTAATCTGTTAATTGTCAATTAACACGTGATGATCTCATCTTAATTAAATAAAAACAAAAATATAATATTTTAATTAAATAAAAAAAAAAGTGATCGTTAATTCCTATTTTTCCAGCACATCATTGTTTTGTTTATGCATACTCTTCTTGCATCGACTGGTCGATTTCCGTGTTTATTTCGTCTGCAAAGCCAACAAAGAACAAATGAAAGCTAATGAATGACGAAAAGCTGCTTCACCTTGTAGAGAATCCACTCGGTTGGACAAAGTTAATGGTATAACATATAGATTTTAAGGGCTTGCAATTGCAGATATGTGATAGCTGATAAGATACACCATTTTGCAGATTGGATATTGCAGTTCCCATTGGAACTTAACCAGACAAGGGTGCAAGGAAGGGTCTCCTTTATAATACTTTTTTGCTAAGTTAGAAATGGAAATTTGAAAAGGGTGTGCTATTGTTGGGAAACCTTTGGATTTCAATCGTTATATGGATAAATTATGAGATGTTATATGTGATTCCATTTGTAAAGGATGTTGACGGAAACTTCTTTCATTTACCGTTGTGCTTTCTAAATGCTCTTACTGGATGCTCTTCGGTTAAGACTGACAAAGAAACACATGGAATACTAACTAATAATGATTCAGATTTGCAGATGGCTGGTGGTCGGTTGAGTTTGCCACACCAACAAGTGGGAATGCCCGAGGAAGATGCTCGGCAATGCTGCACTTGTAAAACCAGTACAGGCTGAACCAGTCAAAACAAGCCCTGCATGTGCCGGAAGTCAGGTGGGCGGCGGAGTTTTTGAAGTGGCCCCGGAGGCTGGAGCCAGATAGGTACAATCTCTTATTCTGGTCGATAGTGATGTCTGTTATGTTGATTCCCAAGAAAAAAAAATTCTGACTTGTAGTTTTTCTTGTATTAATTAGGTGGGTCACTAATAACCGATTGCTCACAAGGCTCTTAATCTTGGGGTCGTGGGATCGAGTCTCACGGAGGGTATTTTATAATTTGGAGGTCTCCTACGGAAGTTACTCTCAACCTAACGTTGGGGGCAGCCTACTATCTTACCTCTCCCTTACCTCGTTACATATGGGAATAAGGGTCAGTTAATTTTCTAGTGAGATGATGCACTAAATTTTTTAAGTAAAATTCAGGTTTCGAATTCTAACGTTTTCAACAAACTGGGTTGAGAGTGTCATTCTCATTTTTGTTATATCTGGTTCTAATTAATCGATTAATAAATCGGATATAGTTATAATAAAATTAGGCGGTCCTCCCACATTAAGTTAGACTAATTGGTGTTCAGTCACGGACGGATCCCAAATGATCACGGATTCCATTAAATCATTCACGGGCTCCCAACATTTTATTCTATTTTATTGTTCCAGTTATGGTCTTCCTGTTTAATCATTAATTATTTATTTTTAATGAGGGATATATATATATATATATATATATATATATATATATATTATCTCAATTAGTCACAAAATTTTAGTTTGTTTATTGATTTCATCATTATATTTTAAAACACTTTTATTTTAGCAATAAACTTTAACATAGTTTTTTTATCACTGGGTCGTTGAATCGTTAACAACATGAAGACATGATCGTTCTTTTCCAGATTTTATGTAGAGAATTGTCAACTCTTTTGGTTGTTATTACTAGTCAATCGTTACTGATCATATTTGCGACAACATCGACACCAAAACATTCATATTTCACTAATTTTTCTAGAATTGATTTTTCACGAAACTTGATTAGAATCGTTAAAAATTCATCTAAAAGTTTGACACTCTAAAGCTTCATTCTCTTGTGATGATCCTCCGATAAGACTGATTTTTATGTATGCTATTTATCTTCTTGAAAAAAATGAATCATTAATTATTTATTTTTAATAGGTATATATATATATATATATTATCTCATTAGTCACAGAATTTTAGTTTGTTTATTGATTTCATCGTTATATTTAAAAACACTTCTATTTTAGCAATAAACTTTAACATAGTTTTTTTATCACTGGGTCGTTGAATCGTTAACAACATGAAGACATAATCGTTCTTTTCCAAATTTTATGTAGAGAATTGTCAACTCCTTCGGTTGTTATTACTAGTCAATTGTCATATTTATGATAACATCGACATCAAAACATTCATATTTCACTCATTCTTCTCGAATTGATTTTCCATGAAACTTACTTAGAATCGTTAAAAAATCATCTAAAAGTTTGGCACCCTAAAGCTCATTCTCTTGTGATGATCCTCCGATAAGACTGATTTTTAGGTATGCTATTTATCTTCTTGAAAATAATTCTTCTCACGTTTCGTGTATTCAAACAAGCACCTAAAATCTCTCAAATATAAGAAAGTTTTCAAACCTTTAAATTGTAGATTTTCATGTATAATTTCACGAGTTTTCAAGAGGGTTTTGAGAAATATAAATCGATGGTAGTAGAGGACAAGGAAACGAGTTCATAAATGTCTAGGGCGATTGCAAAAGACGTGGGAGAACATTAATGTTTAGACAACAACTAAAAGTAGATGAAAAAAATTCTAATTTTCATAAAGATGATGATGTGGAATAAAAAATGTCTTCCATGTTAACACATGTCAAGATCACATTATCACGTCATTCGAGTATTAACAATCAAATGACTAGATGGTAAAAAACACAATGTAAAAGTAAAAAAAAATCAAGGTGTTTGAAAATTTAGTACTAAAATTAAAGTGTTTTAAAGTGAATGATCAAATTGATACACAAAGTAAAGTTCAGTTACTAACGAGATAGTTTACCCATTATTATGTTAAAGCTATTATCTTGTTCTTTCATGTTCCCTCAGCCTGATTAGGTAGTAAAAACAAAGGGACCCTCATCACCATCACATGTGAATATATACATGTGTGTGTATAATCCTTGGGAACAGCCTTTCAGTTTCCATCACCGCCCCTCTTCCTCTAATCTTCTCGTCGGCCGGAAAAAACAAAACCATGCAGTGGAGTCGGTGGACACTCTCGGTAATCCTCCTTCCGATCATGTTCGGTTTATCAACCTCCGACATCAACCAAGACAAGACGGAATGCGGAGATCAGCTGGTGGGGCTGGCTCCGTGCCTCCCCTACGTGGGCGGAGAGGCCGGAACCCCCACCATAGACTGCTGCAGCGGGCTGAAACAGGTACTGGACAAGAGCAGGAAATGCCTGTGTGTGTTGATTAAGGACAGGGATGACCCCCAGCTTGGCCTCAACATCAATGTTTCTCTTGCATTGACGCTTCCTAGTGCCTGTCGTGCTCCTGTCAACATGTCGAACTGTATCTGTAAGTAAAATTTGTAAATGTTAGTTTCCATTTCGCATAATGTCTAAATTAGTCCTTTATCAAAATAAATATTTTGGCTCATATTCTTTTTTTTAGCATTTTAAACCCCAACGTATCATTTTAAGCAAAAGATCCCATTTGACAGAATAATCATTTGATCCTTATTCTTTTTCTAGTGCATTTTAGCTCTTACGGTTTTATTTTAAATTAAAAATACCCTTATTTTATAGTGTTAATCGTATGTTAACTAATAATTTTATTTATAGAGGGATTTTTTTATCCCAAAATGAAACGTTCTCCCAAAAAAATATAGACCAAAATGATCATTTTGATAAATGTCGGAAACTATTTTTGACATTATGCCTTTCCATTTCATGCTTGATTTTGCTGTTCTTGGACTGATTTTTTTGGGTGGTGGGATCTATTCAGCTCTTCTGCACTTGAAACCCAATTCTCAGGAAGCCAAATTGTTTGAAGGATATCAAAAGTTGACGGATGGGCATTCCAGTGCTCCGGCGGCAGCTACAGCCCGTGGTAATATCCTAGATCTATGTTATAACAATATGTTTAAAATAATAGCAAACCACACCCTTTATCTTTGAAAATATGGTCACCTTAACCTATATATATATAGGTAAATTTTGACTATTGATGTTCTATTTTAGGGTTAAATAATTATTAGTTAGATGAAAACCGTTAATTGATTAACATGTAATGCTCTTCTTTATGTGATCAAAGTGATGATGTGATACATAACCTATTATTATTTTGGAATGAGTAATGTCACGTCATCAATTAAACACATGTCATATGACAAATCATCACTTATACATATGTGACACGTGTCTTATTATCTTGTTAGATATGTGTTGCATGTCACGTCATCACGTATATATATAATATATGCCATATCATCACTTTAATTATGTGACATATATCGTATAATTACTTATACATATGTAGTATTTATCACATCAACACTTCAGACTCATAGTTCTTATTATGTCAGAAATAGCATCGGCTGTTAATTGATTAACAGTTTTTATCTAACGATAATTTTACTCAAAAAATAAAACGTTAAAGTCAAAATACTTCGAAAAAAGATCAATACGATTATTTAATCGCACATAAAAGTATTTTTGTGGTTGAGTACATATTCAAATCTTTACTACAGTTTGATATATGAGTTTTGATGAATGCAGGCAACTCCTCCACTAACAGTGCAGCAGACAAGAGTGATGGAGAAAAGGCAAAGAGGTGGATCGGAGTAGATATGGCTTTCGGGGTTTCACTATGGATTTTCACCATTTACCACAACCACCTTGGTGTGTGATGTAATGCACTTATATTTTGCTCCTTCATTCCAATTGATTATGTATTTTTTTTTAAAGTAAATTTCGGTCTAGTCGAGTCGAGTCGAATGAAAGACAAACGCAGTGAAATGATTATTTATCTATCGATTATTTAATGAACGATACTCGTTCGAGTTCCTAAACTCACTGGATACGAAATAAGTTCCCATAAGGTTCATAGTGGTAAGTATTCCTCTCTTCAATCCCATTCCCAGATCTTCACTTCGGTTAATCCATTTCCAGAATTTCATGTCTATGAAGTTTGCTCTAAGTTCTGTGTTTCCATATCTTTGTGGACTATTATATTTTTAACATAATTAGGGAAAGCCTGAGAGACGGTTACCTAATTCAAGTTAGAAAATAATAATCTTTGGACGCAATCGAAAATAAAATAAAAATCATAGTAATTATCTTCTTCGTGATATTTTAGATTCGACAAAAAATATTAAGAAAAATATAATATTTTAGGTTCCACTTAACTTAAAATGTCATAATTTTTATTACTTTTTCAGTTGTGTCAAATATCATCGTTTTTTAATCTTATATTAACTTGTCGCACGGAAAAATCACCCGCACCATTCAGCAACCATATATCCATCGAATATAAATTATATTCAATTCAATTCTGTTTAGTATAACGAAGTTGACCATACTTTGCTGTAGTTTTATTGTGTTCTCTTCGATCTTGAAGAATTGTTTCTAAGAATTTCAGTTAAGATATACTATTTTAATAATTATTGAAACTCTAGTCGTTTTTCCTTTCTTTCAACTTAATTTTTTTTAATATTTTGTGTCGTTTTCTTATTTCTTTTTACTTTTTTTTATCCGACAGTGACATTAATCTTAATATTTGTCACCTACCGCAATGAATATTAATTCTCTTGTTTTATATATATATATATTACGTTTATTATTTATTTTCTTTCTTTTTTTATTCTTTTTTAATTTTGAATAAGAATCAATGTCTTTATGACACATGTTTTCTCTACTCTTGTAGCATGTGTTGAAATTTGGTTTTTGGTGAAACAAATTGCACCGGAAGTTGAAAACAAATTTCCACCGAATGGAAATTGTCAAAAAGAAGATGAAAATGTCGAAATTGGGTAAATGGATAATTACACATTTAGTCCTTGTACTTTAAGATATTTACAAGATTAGTCCTTAAGCTTCAACTATAAATACCCTAACTCATTTAGCTTCAAACACATCCCAAATCATTCTTGTTTTCTCCCAATACTAGAGAATTTAGAGAGTTTTCTTGAGAGTTGTTTTCTCTTTTTTATCAAGAGAGAATTGTTGTTGTTTTCTCATTGTTAGATCGAGAGAAGTTTAATTCATATTTTCTCATAGTGAAATTATTTTACCGTTGCGCTTGGTTTTACTCTATATTATTTAGGGGGTTTCCACGTAAAATTTGTATCTTCTTTATCTTCATTTTTATTTTCTCAAATTATCAGTTACGATTTTGCTCTATCCAATAGCCGTCTTCCGCAACAATTGGTATCAGAGCCAGATTTGAGTGTGAAATATCAACTTAGTGTATTTTTGGTTGCCACCAAAAGGTGGATCCTCTAACATAAGAAAGTAAGAAGGTATTACTTATTTTTTTAAGGTTCCAGAGAACTATTAATGATAGTGAAATAGTGGGAGCTATCCGTAATAGAAGCTATGACAACGAAATTTGATATTGAAAAGTTCAATGGGAGAAATTTCTCATTGTGGAAATTAAAGATGAAGGTCATCCTGAGGAAAGACGGTTGTCTAGCAGCTATCAATGAAAGTCCGATAGATTTCACATATGACAACAAATAGATCGAAATGGACGGGAATGCTATGACAAACTTTCATCTAGCATTAGCAGATGAAGTATTGTCAAGCATCGAGAAGAAGAAGATAGCTAAGGAGATATGGGATCATCTCACCAAATTGTACAAGGCCACATCGTTGCACAATAAAATTTTCCTTAAGACGAAATTGTACACTCTCCGGATGTCAGAATCTACTTCAGTGACGGAGCACTTAAACACACTGAACACTTTATTTTCTCACCTTACATCCTTAAGATGTACAATAGGAAAATAAGAACGTGTTGAACTTCTACTTCAAAGTCTACATGATTCGTATGATCAACTCTTCATCAACTTGACAAATAGTAATGTTATCAGTCTAGTCTTCGATGACATTGCAACTGTTGTTCTACATGAAGAAAATCGGCGCAAGAACAAGGAAGACAGACAAGTAAATCTGCAGCAAGCAGAAGTGTTGATAGCGATGAGAGGGAGATCAACAAAACGTGGTCAAAGCAGTAGTCACAAACATGGTAGATCAAAGTCGAGAAGCAAAAAGAATTTAAAGTGTTACAACTGTGGAAAGAAGGGTCACTTGAAGAATGATTGTTGGAGTCTAAGTAAAAAGTCCAATCCACAAGGCAATACCTCAAACACTTCAGATAATGGAGATGCTCTATGTTGTGAAGCGTCAACCACCGTCGAAGGCAGAAAGAGATTTGCAGATATATGGCTCATTGATTCGGGAGTAACATATCACATGACCTCAAGAAGATAATGATTCCATCATTATGAACATGTCTCAGGAGGATCTGTGTATAGTTGCAATGATCATGCCTTAGAGATCTTTGGCGCTGGAACCATCAAATTGAAGATATATGATGGAACAATTAAAGTTGTTCGAGATGTGCGGCACGTGAAAGGCCTGAAGAAAAATTTATTATCATACGGATTGTTAGATAATAATGCAAGCAAGATTGAAACACGGAAAGGAAACATGAAGGTGTTCCGTGGAGCGCTTGTGGTGATGAAATGCGAAAAGATAGTAGCAAACATGTACATGCTGAAGGAAGAGACTTTGCTAGAAGCATAATCCTCTGTTGCCTCATGTAGTTCAAATTCTGCAATGCTATGGCATCAGAAACTTGGACACATGTCAGAACAAGGAATAAAAGTCCTTGTGGAGCAAAAGCTACTTCCAGGCTTAACAAATGTGTCACTTACTTTGTGTGAGCATTGCATAACAAGTAAGCAACACCGGTTGAAATTCAACATGTCAAATTCTAGAGGTAAAAGTGTTCTAGAATTGGTTCATTTTGACGTATGGCAAGCACCAGTTACATACCTAGGCGGAGAAAAATACTTTGTCTCATTTATTGATGGCTACTCTATGAGATGTTAGGTGTACCCTATTAAGAAGAAGTCAGATGTGTTTTCAACTTTCAAAAACTTCAAAGCGCGGGTGGAAATTGATTCTGAAAATAAGATCAAGTGTTTCAGAACAGATAATGGAGGAGAATACACAAGTAAAGAATTTTATGACTTTTGCAGGAAAGAAGACATCAAAAGATTGTTCACAGTGGCGAACACTCCTCAACAAAATGGAGTGGCAGAGCGGATAAACAGAACCTTGTTAGAAAGAACAAGAGCAATGTTGAGGGTTGCAGGCCTAGAAAAATCATTTTGGACAGAAGCAGTCAATACCGCCTGTTATTTGGTGAATCGAGCTCCATCAATTGCAATAGAGCTAAAGACACCAATTAAAATATGGACTGGTAAACCAGTTGATTATTCAAACCTCCATGTATTTGGAAGTATTGTGTACGTGATGTATAACTCCCAAATTTCAAAGTTGGATCTAAAATCCATGAAACGCAAATTCTTGGGGTATGCTAATGGTGTAAAGGGGTATCGTTTATGGGATCTCACTGCCCTCAAAGTGATCATCAGCAGTGATGTTATCTTTGTAGAATATAAACTACAAAGAAAAGAAGAAGATGATAGCGCTAAAAAGTCAGAGACTACACAAATACATGTGCAAAAGGATTTTGAACAAGGAGATTCTTCTGAAGCAGAACAATCACATGATGAACAAGAACCAGAGAGTTCTGAAGCTCCAACAACTCATCAATCAGATCTTGTGAGAAGACGTCCCAATTGGCACTCAGATTATGTTATAGAAAGAAATATTGCATACTGCTTTTAACAGAGGTCGGTGAGCCATCAACATTCCAGGAGGCAATAAACAGCTCAGAGGCTTAACTATGGATGATGGCGATGTAAGAAGAAATCGAAGCCCTTAATAAAAATAATACATGGGACCTTGTGCCACTACCACAAGGAAGGAAGCCAATTGGTAACAAATGAGTCTTCAAAATCAAGCGAAATGGTGACGATCAAGTTGAGAGGTATCGTGCAAGACTGGTGGTGATGAGTGTTCAGAATCGTTAATATTTGTTCGTTATTTCTTCGATTTTGTGAAGTTATTGCTGCTGATTTAGTTGTGTTATGTCTATTTTTGTGCAGGTCCTTACTTTCCAGAATTGGTGATAAAACGGGCGAATTCTGCATTTTTTTTATTATTTGGTCACGGCTGGAGACATGGGCACGACTCTGGGCACGACGCGGTCTGACATGACAGTTTCTAGAAGGTCCAGTCAGCGGCGATTTCTAGAAGACTTCGTCTGCACGCCTTCTGGAAGATTGACGAGCAGAGTTGCATTAGGAGACTAGTTTAAGTTTGAATTTAAATTTAAAAACAATTATCTTTTGTATTATTTTATTATTTTCTTTGTTTATCTTTTAGGCTTTGAGAGGCTATAAATACCCACTTGGGGTAAGCCTAAACTCATCATTCAGAATACATTCTTTTTTTCTCTCTAGTTTTTATAAAAGTTTTCTCTTTTCCTTTTCAAGTTCTTTTTATTTTTCTTTATTTTCATGTTTTATTTTTATGCTAAGTATGACTTTTGTCATGCTTAGCTAAACTTTTCATAAGCCGAGAGCTGTCGCGATGATTCAATTCCAACGGGAGAATTGAAACGGTTCCTTAATATCTTCATAATCTCTCTCTCAATCTCTGCGCTTATTTTTTCAAAATCAAAACAGTTTTCAAAAATTGAAGATTGACTTTGGTCAAGAAGTTGTTGCGATTAAACGTATGGGAGGAAGATTCGGCTTATAGAAAACAATTCGACTTCCTGGGAACACACTTGGCGAGATAGCTTCGCCAAGAGGGAATTGAGATCGGAATTGACGGTTATAGAAACAACAATCCGAGTCGGTCGCCACGAACTTAAACGGTATT